CATGCACACAAGCGAGATGTTACAGATAACTGCAAAATTAATACTAATAACCTTTTTTACCAATTGAAAAAGGCAGACATTTGGCAATAGGATCTGTTCCCTATGTCCGTATCAAGCTATTGGTGATGAATTTCACTACTTATTCGAATGTTCGTACTTTAGTTTAATGACAGAAGACGTAAATCTCTTCTTCCCAGTTTTTATATTCATCCCAATATTTTTAAACTTGACAGATTAATGAATATTTGTGATAAAAAGATTCTACTAAAATTATCTTTATTTTGTAATTTTAGCATTATGCTAAAATTTAGATAATTAGTACTTCTCATTTTTCGTTCCCATTTGTTACAATGTAAAATACATGTTGTATTGAAGTGAACAATGTGATCTCCTTGCTAGTCATAATTGTATATTTTTATTGTGATACTAGTGACTTTTGACTGTTATTTTTTTGTTCGTTTGTTTGTTATAACCAGTTGCATAGTATATGCCTTGGTTTAATAAAAACTGAAAGTGAAACTCAAATCGGGGTATTTCGGACATGTCAATGGGAAAATAAGGACATTGAGTTTTTACCAATGAGTAGGCTAAAATACGGGCAATTTCTCATTTTTTTTAAGAAACAAAACATATTTCTTTCGATCGGTACAAACGTATGCTAATACCGGTATATACAATATTTAGCTAGTTGATTAATGAAATCAGAGCTATCTCCAAGTTCAATTATCTTTCAATAAAGCTATGCTAAAACATAGATTTCAAGATTCAAGATTTTATTTTCAAAAACACCAGAAGGTCATAGACCCATGTGGCCAACATTTACATACTATATATGGCTACAGCAATTTATCATTTAATAATAATAATTACATATTCAAAAATGCATACATACACACATTACATACATATATATAAACATAAGTACATGCACGCTCATAAATTTGCATATATACCATCTACACATATGTATACACATTTGAATGTATGTCATAGTATTTAATTGTCACTTTACAAAATTAATGTACACTGATGAGATTGGTACTGTCATGTGTTAATCTATTTCACACTTATGTAACGCCTTGCGAATCCACTAGCTTATTCAACAGTTCTTTTGCGCTGCCCTTCTACTCAATGAGATTTATCTTCCTACAAAATTTGAACTTGGTATCTCTTGTAGTTTCAGAGTTATGCCCTAGACAAAGTTCAAAGTGTAAAAATAAACAAAGACCAATAACTCCAAAATTAGGGAAACAGAGTTACGAATCTTTTGCACTGCACTTCTACTCAATAAGATATACTTTTTATCATTATTATTTTTTGTGGATACAGAAAAATAAAGGTCTTAAAAATAATAATTTTTGTTTGAATTTTATTGTAAGTTCTGGATAACTAAGTATTTGACATAAAAAATGATATATTTGAAACAGACTATAGTAAATAGAGTTTTATGAAGACTAAGCATTACTACTGTACTACAAAAAAGTGAAATCAAAAATAAAGGTCAACATGACCTCAATAACAGTTCACTCTTCTTTCTTCACATCAGATATTTCCACACTGGACCATAAAGTGACGGGCCCACTTTACAACTTTTTCGATAACTTAAAAAATTTAAAAAAAAAATTAAAACTTTTTTTAAAAACACTTTACATTATATCCACCAAATTTTTTAAAAATTGAAATTTTTTCATAAAAGGGGGATACAACAAAAAAAATTGAAAAATTAAATTTTTTTTTCCCAAAAGCAGTAAGAGCCAGGTCAGACTGCACAGGTATGCACACTGGCCTGGCTATATACTGCTGGCATTAAGGCTTGTAACTCACATTGGCATGACTATATACTGATGAAATAAAGGCTTGTCACTCACACTGGCCTGGCTTTATACTGATGACATTAATGTTTGTCACTCACATTGGCATGACTATATACTGATGAAATAAAGGCTTATCACTCACACTGGCCTGGCTATATACTGATGACATTAAAGTTTGTCACTCATACTGGCCTGGCTATATACTGATGAAATAAAGGCTTATCACTCACACTGGCCTGGCTATACTGATAAAATTAAAGTGTGTCACTCACACTGGCCTGGCTATATACTGATAAAATTAAAGTGTGTCACTCACACTGGCCTGACTATATACTGATAAAATTAAAGTGTGTCACTCACACTGGCCTGACTATATACTGATAAAATTAAGGTTTGTCACTCACACTGGCCTGGCTATATACTGATGAAATTAAAGTGTGTCACTCACACTGGCCTGGCTATATACTGCTGGCATTAAGGCTTGTCACTCTCACTGGCCTGGCTATATACTGATAAAATTAAAGTTTGTCACTCACACTGGCCTGGCTATATACTGATATAATTAAAGTGTGTCACTCACACTGGCCTGGCTATATACTGATAAAATTAAAGTGTGTCACTCACACTTGCCTGACTATATACTGATAAAATTAAAGTGTGTCACTCACACTGGCCTGACTATATACTGATAAAATTAAAGTTTGTCACTCACACTGGCCTGGCTATATACTGATAAAATTTAAAGTGTGTCACTCACACTGGCCTGGCTAATATACTGCTGGCATTAAGGCTTTGTCACTCACACTGGCATGCTATATACTGATGACATTAAAGTTTTGTCACTCACACTGGCCTGGCTATATACTGCTGGCATTAAGGTTTGTCACTCACACTGGCCTGGCTATATACTGCTGACTGACATTAAGGCTTGTCACTCACACTGGCCTGGCTATATACTGATGACATTAAAGTTTGTCACTTACACTGGCCTGGCTATATACTGCTGGCATTAAGGCTTGTCACTCACACTGGCCTGGCTAATATACTGATGACATTAAGGCTTGTCACTCACACTGGCCTGGCTATATACTGCTGACATTAAGGTTTGTCACTCACACTGGCCTGGCTAATATACTGATGACATTAAAGTTTTGTCACTTACACTGGCCTGGCTATATACTGCTGGCATTAAGGCTTGTCACTCACACTGGCCTGGCTATATACTGCTGACATTAAGGCTTGTCACTCACACTGGCCTGGCTATATACTGATGACATTAAAGTTTGTCACTCACACTGGCCTGGCTATATACTGATGACATTAAAGTTTGTCACTCACACTGGCCTGGCTATATACTGATGACATTAAGGCTTGTCACTCACACTGGCCTGACTATATACTGATGACATTAAGGCTTGTCATTCACACTGGCCCCTGGCTATATACTGCTGGCATTAAGGCTTGTCACTCACACTGGCCTGGCTTTATACTGATGACATTAAAGTTTGTCACTCACACTGGCCTGGCTATATACTGCTGGCATTAAGGCTTGTCACTCACACTGGCCTTGCTATATACTGATGACATTAAGGCTTGTCACTCACACTGGCATGACTATATACTGATGACATTAAGGCTTGTCACTCACACTGGCATGGCTATATACTGATGACATAAAGGCTTGTCACTCACACTGGCATGACTATATACTGCTGGCATTAAGGCTTGTCACTCACACTGGCATAACTATATACTGATGGCATTAAGGCTTGTCACTCACACACTAGGGGTAAAATTTAAACAATTTTGGTAGAGGACCTGTAGATGATATAAACCAAATATCAAAGCTCTAAGCCTTGTACAGTGTAACTTCTGAAAACCGAACACCTGTGGGACTAGCCAAAAAGTTCGGAATTTGGAAGTTTCTTGAATTCAGAAGTTCGGAATTATCTGAACAAATACAATTATTATACATCAACTGTTTCATAGTAAGACATGATGAAAAATATATGAAGCTGATTAAATTAATAAAATACTATTTTAAATTTCACCTATTACTGAATATGCTGATACAATAGCATAATGTTAATTATCACAATTTATTCTTTAGTTTATTTCATATACATGTAGTAGCTGCTATTTACCTGTAATTTTTTCATTTCATCACATTATTTTTCTCAAATTCTTAATTTTCACACTGTAAGCAAGTGTTTGTTGTAATTCTAATAAGTGTCAAGATAAATGGGTACTGGAAATTGGAAGATACTGACATTTTGAAGGTTTTTTAATAACAAGTATAATATTCCTTCACACCTTTTATAATTTCCGGATTTTGGAAGTAAATTTTTATTGATATAACCCAAATTTTACCAGAAAATCGTTCGGAATTCAGAATTTAGTAGTTCCGTAATTCAGAGGTTATAATTACATAGAAACCAGAAGGAGAAATTTCGGGACACTGAAAAATGTTCGGATTTCAGAAGTTTCCGGATTTTAGAAGTTCCGGAATTCAGAAGTTACACTGTACCTTCAGTCAAGAAAAAGTTTTAAGTTTTTACTATATGTGCTGTACATAATGAAAATCAATGATGCCCCCCACCCCCGGGCGGGGCCAATTTTAACCCTAGGGCTACAATTTGAACAATCTTGGTAAAAGTCCACTACATAATGTTTGAAGTTTCATGCCAAATATCTAACCTCGAGCCTTTTTCAATTCAGAGAAGATTTTTTAAGGTTTTAATACTATATACATATAAGGGAAACCTATGACACCCCCACCCCTGGGGCTTGGCCAATTTTGACACTAGGGGAGCACCTACAGATGATATTATATACCAAATATCAAAGCTCCCAGCTTTGTACTTCAGACAAGAAGATTTTTAAGATTTTACTATATTTACATAATGATAATCAATGATGCCCAAGGTGAGACCAATTTTGACCCTAGGGCTATAATTTGAACAACCTTGGTAGAGGTCTAAATAACAAAGCCTTTTGCAAAATATCTAAGTTTTAGGCCTTTTAGAAGAAAATGTTTTAAACTTTTTTTATAATTTCTTTACAGTCGTCATACACACACCCACCCACGCATGCATACACGCACCCACACACAGAAGCAAATTTCTATATGCCACCACATGTATGCCACCACATGGCAGACACTTGAAACACTTACTGGATGTGTTGCCCTGTCATAATTTATTAAATAAAGTGACACTTACTGGATGCTGTCCCTTTTACAGTACTACTTGCTCCATCAACAACAGTCTGGTACCTTGCACCTTCTGTGACTGTTTTACCACTAGCATCATCTTTAGTTTCAGCTGACTGGTTTGTGAATGGAAACAATAAAACACTACTTCCTTTGTCAATCAAACCATATGTTGCATGACCTGCTGACTTTACTGTTGAATATGTACCTTTAAAAATGGTAAACAATTATTTGAAATTGTTATTTTGTCCCACTAACAATTGAAGAAATTCAAGCTATGACAACTTTTGCTTCACTGGTGAAGGAAGGCATCAGGTGGCTTATTTTAGGAACAAACAGGTATCTATATGAACTAGACACAATTAAGCAGGACCTTATCTTGACACAAACAGGCACTTAAACTAGACACAATTAGGCACCTACATGAACTAGACACTAAAAGTACAAAGAAAAAAAGACACAGACACCCAAACTAGACACAAACAGGCACCTGAACTAGACACAAACAGGCACCTGAACTAGACACAAACAGGTACCTGAACTAGACACAAACAGGCACCTGAACTAGACACAAACAGGTACCTGAACTAGACACAAACAGGCACCTGAACTAGACACAAACAGGCACCTGAACTAGACACAAGCAGGAACTAGACACAAACAGGCACCTGAACTAGACACAAACAGGCACCTGAACTAGACACAAACAGGCACCTGAACTAGACACAAACATGCACCTGAACTAGACACAAACAGGCACCTGAACTAGACACAAACAGGCACCTGAACTAGGCACAAACAGGTACCTGAACTAGACACAAACAGGCACCTGAACTAGACACAAACAGGCACCTGAACTAGACACAAAACAGGCACCTGAACTAGACACAAACAGGCACCTGAACTAGGCACAAACAGGCACCTGAATTAGACACAAACAGGCACCTGAACTAGACACAAACAGGCACCTGAACTAGACACAAACAGGTACCTGAACTAGACACAAACAGGTACCTGAACTAGACACAAACAGGTACCTGAACTAGACACAAATAGGTACCTGAACTAGACACAAACAGGCACCTTTCCTATACACAAGCAGGAACCTTAACTAGACACAGGCTGTCCAGCACCTTCGGACATAAAATTTTAGGGCAATATTCTAGAAATATTAGGGCTAAAATTAGGAATTTTAGGGTACATAATAGAAATTTTAGGGCTAAAATTGGGAATTTTATAACTAAACTATGGCCCCAAAAGACCATGATGTGGGCTAACCTTTGCATATTTGATACAAAAGTAACTCACAAATAATGCTCTAGTTTAGTTAGAGCAAAGGTGTCTACCAGTGTGGACTCAATGGTCAACTGCCTCCCCTGCAGGAATGGTCATAGTCACACCATGTTCAAACCATATTTGAAATATGTTTTTTCAATGGCTGAACATGTCAAAAAGAACATGTTCTACCTATGTTTTGGGAATGTTATAACCACGAATGTCTAAAAAGAATTCTTATACAGTGAAATTCATGCACATTATGCAGCTTTTAAATATGGACAAATGAAATTTTTGTACATTTAGGAAGTAAAAAGGCATTAGCCTTAGTACAGTCATTTGAACAAATGGGAAGTATCTATAATCAATACACAGAATTGCACATCAAAAAAGTTCATCACACAGACCATTCAATTGCAGTCTACCTAGATCATACAATTGCAAAATGTGTGTACATGGTTAGAATTAATTTCGCAAAGTCTATGTTAACACATTTAGTACTTTACAATGTTGTTTTGAAATTATGCAGATTTAAATAAAAGAGTTGTGAGTAAACAAATTGTACATTAATTTTTGACAACTATTTATACATGTTTTTAATTAAAATTGTGTTACAACAGCTTCATAATGATCATTTTCAAATATGATATGATATAAATGGACCACTTCAGCCATTTGGAAAAAAAGAACAAACATAAAATTTAAGATATCTGGAGTTGGCAAAACAGTGTCAAAATATTCCAGAATAAGTCGACCTCTTATGGTTATGATTTAAGTTTCAGGACCATGATATGGTAGTGTTTTTGCTGTTAACAGTCAACATGATTATCAACAACTGCTTTGATTATGAAAAAGTAATGTTACAGACATAGTCAAAGTAACTTTTAGTTGGAACGAAACCATTTCAATGTCACCAATTTTGAGTTGGCAAATCATGTTAAAATCACTTTTGACCGTGTTCAAAACATGGTCCACTTTGTTATGTTCAAAAAATAGATAAATACAGAATCCCTAAAGAAAGCCCAACACGGCAAAATTGAAAATGTTGCAGGCTCGGTTTGATTGAGCCTGTTCATGGACGGTACTGGAAAGTGCAAGTTACCGTCCACCCCCCCTAGCACCGGCTTAAGCAGAATTCAACATTTAAACATGAAATAGTAAAATTTTGAATTTAGAAACATCCGCAGATGTGTTCATACGGCAGTCATCATGGAACCTTCAATGTGACACTTCTGTGCCATTCCATGAAAAGCGGCGTTATAATAATGGTCCCCAAGTAATAAAAAGCGTGTGCCCTAAACGAGAAAACAATGGGCAGAACTAAATAAAATGGAATTTTAAAAGGGGATCAGAGGTTATGAAGCCTGCGTATCACAGATAAGACGTCAAAAGACAAATTTCAAATTTAAAAAGCAGGCAACATATCCTAAGGGTGATTCAACATTATTCAAGTAGGAATATTGGAACCACCCAACTAGAAAATGCCGAAAAGTTGAAACTAAAAATACCACAAGCACAACAATAATGTCGTGCTGAACGACCTTCAAGGATCGAAAATATAACATCATTGATTAAATGTACGGGGAGACTTTTTACAGCCGCCACACGGCACAAATAGCACGGATGTGATCATAAAATAGATAAATACAGAATCCCTAAAGAAAGCCCAACACGGCAAAATTGAAAATGTTGCAGGCTCGGTTTGATTGAGCCTGTTCATGGACGGTACTGGAAAGTGCAAGTTACCTTCCACGCCCCCTAGCACCGGCTTAAGCAGAATTCAACATTTAAACATGAAATAGTAAAATTTTGAATTTAGAAACATCCGCAGATGTGTTCATACGGCAGTCATCATGGAACCTTCAATGTGACACTTCTGTGCCATTCCATGAAAAGCGGCGTTTGTCCCCAAGTAATAAAAAGCGTGTGCCCTAAACGAGAAAACAATGGGCAGAACTAAATAAAATGGAATTTTGAAAGGGGATCAGAGGTTATGAAGCCTGCGTATCACAGATAAGACGTCAAAAAACAAATTTAACAAGAGGGCCATGATGGCCCTGAGGTCGCTCACCTGTATATAGGCCCCCCCCCCCCCCCACCTGGCAGGGCCAATTTTAGAAGATTTTTTAAGTTTTTACTATACACATATAGTTAAAAACAATGACACCCCTAGGGCGGGGCCAAATTTGACCCCAGGGCTTTTATTTGAACAAACTTTGTAGACACTCACTAGAAGATGTTTCATGCTTAATATCTAAACTGTAGCTATTTGGGTTTTTTCAAAGAAGATTTTTTAAGTTTTTGCTATACACATATAAGGAAAATCAATGACCCCCGGGGCAGGGCCAATTTTGACCCCAGGGCTTTTATTTGAACAAACTTGGTAGACACCCATTAGAACATGTTTCATGCTAAATATCTTAGCTCTAGCTCTTTGAGTTCTTTAAAAGAAGATTTTTTAAGTTTCTACTAAATGCATATAGGGAAAATCAATGATCCCCTGGGGCGGGGCCAATTTTGACCCCGGGGCTTTTATTTGAACAAACTTGGTAGACACTCATTAGAAGATGTTTCATGCTAAATATCTTAGCTCTAGCTCTTTGGGTTCTTTAAAAGAAGATTTTTTAAGTTTTTACTATATGCATATAGGGAAAATCAATGACCCCCTGGGGCGGGGCCAATTTTGACCCCAGGGCTTTTATTTGAACAAACTTGGTAGACACTCACTAGAAGATGTTTCATGCCAAATATCTAAGCTCTAGTTCTTAGGGTTTTTTTAAAGAAGATATTTAAAGTTTTTTCTTTCAGTTGCCATGGCAACCAGAGTTCTGCATGGAATTAAATTCTTTGAACAATTTTTAAAGGTGACCACCAAAGGAACATTCCTGTGAAGTTTGGATGAAAATGGCTTAGTGGTTTATGAGGAGATGTCATTTAAAGTAAAAGTTTACGGACGGACGGACTGACGGACGCCGGACAAAAAGCGATCACAAAAGCTCACCCTGTCACTTTGTGACAGGTGAGCTAAAAAGCAGGCAACATATCCTAAGGGTGATTCAAATCATTTTCGCAGTGTTACAAGTTAAAAGTACGTTGATAACAAAAGATAAAAAATAGGAATTTCAGTGAAAAAATAGGGCATTTTTAGGAATTCCCTTTGAATTTTTCACTTTTTTAGGAATTTTAGCCAAACTGAAAAAAATTAGGATTTTTAGGAATTTTAGGGACACTGGACAGCCTGTTATAAGACACAAACAGGCACCTTAACTAGACATAAGAAGGCACATGAACAACATACAAATAGGCACCCAAACTAGACAAAAGCAGGAACCTTTACTAGACACAAACAGACACCCAAACTAGACACAATCAGGCACCTGCCTAAACTAGAAACTAAAGGTACACAGACAACCAGACTAGACACAATCAGGCACCTGAACTAGACACAATCAGGCACCTGAACTAGACACAAACAGGCACCTGAGCTAGGCACAAATAGGCACATGGATAAACAGGCACCTGAACTAGACTCAAACAGGTATCTGAACAAGACACAAACAAGCACCTGAACCCTGAACTAGACACAAACAGGCACCTGAACTGGACACAAACAGGCACCTGAACAAGACTCAAACAAGCACCTGAACTAGACAAAAACAGGCACATGAACTAGACACAAACAGGCACCTGAACTAGACACAAACAAGCACCTGAACCTTGAACTAGACACAAACAGGCACCTGAACTAGACACAAACAGGCATTTGAACTAGACACAAACAGGCATTTGAACTAGACACAAACAGGCACCTGAACTACACACAAACAGGCACCTGAACTACACACAAACAAGCACCTGAACTAGATTCAAACAGGCCCCTGGACTAGACACAAGTGGGCATCTGAACTAGGCACAAACATGCACCCAAAGTAGACACCAACAGGTGCCTGCATAAACAAGACACAAGCAGGTACCTGGCCTAGAAGTACTTAAGTTCTATTAAGGTCATTTAATATAAAAATAATTCAATAATACATCCTTTACAAACATCTTAAACTTATGCCAACTTATCAGTTCATCAGAGAATTTACTAACTTTTAAACTAATAAAGTATGGAATAGTCATGGTAATGTTGGTTAAAGGAAACAAATTAAGTAATGAAAACAAGTCAAGAAAAGAAAACAAGTTAAGTTATAATATATTTGAAAAATAAAACTTACTGCTTGCTGCCCTTGTAATTACATCACTAGTCATGTTGCACGCTGACAGTAAGGCTGATGAGGTACCTTCAATAACATATTAATATTATAACATAATTATTATAACAAGAGCCACCACCGGGTGGGGGCAACGCTTGACTTTTTTACATTTTCTAGTTTGATATACATGAAGGTCCTGACCGTAAAGATCTTGTGTCTTAATATTAAGATAATCCCTTTATAAATAACAAATTATAGCCATTTACAGAATAAAACAAAAGAATTTCATTTATTTGACCTTGACAGTCAATGTCAATTTAAGGTCAACCTCCCATCTAACTCATTCAATATGTTTGTTTGGTAGCATGTCTTGTTTTGTCCAAGTTTAAATCAAATCTGCATATAAATAACAAAATAATGACAATTTAACCAAAATTCAATAATTTATAAAGCTCAAGGTCAAGGTCAGTTCATCTGTTTAGAAGGTCTTGTCCAAAATGTTGTTTTGTCAAAGTATGAAGATAATCCATTAATAAATTATCAAGTTACAGTCAATTATAGAAAAAAATCAGTGAAAATTCAATAATTTAACCTTCAAGGTCATGAAAAAGCCAAGGTTAATTTGAGTTTGATATACATGGAAGTCTTATCCTAAGAAATGTTATATATGAAGTCAATCCATTCAAAAATAAAAGTAAATAAAATAAAAGTTTTTGCCAGCTACATCAAAAAAACAAGAGCTGTCACAGGAGACAGCGAAGCTCGACTAATAAAATACTGGATGCAGTAAGGAGGAAAAAACTATGAAAGAAAAATCAATTATGTATAATTATGTATTAAGTTACAGTAAAAAATAACATTTGTTAACATAAATTCCAAGATCAAGGGGAATAATTCTAGAAATAGTCACGCTAGTGTTATGAACCTTGTCACATAACATGTGTGTAATGATAAAAAAATTATATTTGAAGTTTGAAGTAGATACCTTAAAAAGTAAAGAACTTATAATATTTCTTAAAGAAAATCCTAAGTTCAAAGAGAGATAAATCTGTAAATATTGCTTCAAGAGTTATGAACATTGTCACATAAAATGTAATTAATGATAAGGAATAAGTATTTGAAGTTTGAGGCAGATACCTTTAAAACAAAAAAAGTTATAGTAAAAAATAACATTTTTCTAGTAAAAAAAACAAATTTTTTGTTTGGTTTTATGGCACACAAACACAGTTCAGGTTATATGACGCAGAAAGAAATATGCATATTTCACAATGTTCTTACCTCCATTAACAACTGATTTATTATCTGAATCCTCTATAACAGTTTTGCTACTTGTATCTTCTGCAACATGGATATTGTCTGTTGATGGTGCTAGACATACTGCCCCACTGACAGCACTCCCTATAATAATGCCTGTCTTAGTAGAAATTCCTAAAACACCAGCTGATTGCATTGCTGCAACAATACCTTAAATTATAAAAAAAAAACATTATAAAATAAATCAATTCAGTTTTTAAACAATATCAAAAGTTATAAAATAAATCATTTTAAGTACATGTATTAAACAAAAATTATTAAAGTGAATCCACGGTGCATATCCATATCGGTACCCTCTTTGCGAAATCTGCTGAAACGGTACCCTCTTTGTACAGGCCATTCTCTGCTCAAAACAAACCAGCGATGGATAACAAGCCAGTAAAAATTCATTGTAATAAGGAAAGGAGGTATGACACGTGGAAAAGATGTATACCACGGAACACTAGAATGTTTTATCTATGTACTGATTTGTCATGTGCCCGTTTTTCATGTACTGCAACTTCACAATAAGCTACAAAAAATCGACATGTCTTACCTCGCCCATCACCTCGACATATTTTTCGGGCTGAAATGAACCTGTGGCTTGATTATATATGCATCATACCTATCTAATATGTTCATTTACATATCATCTTCGGACAAATGGCAGTACATTGTCAAAAATAATGGTAAAATTCATAAAAACACCCTACTTTCAGTTTTGCAGCGGCACAGGCTACCTCTCTTCATTTGAATTTTTATATCACAGGTACCCTCTCATTTTTTAACACATAGGTATATAGACCCTTTCATTTAAGCGATAACAGTCAGTGAAGAGTTACTTCCCTTACCGGATGTGACGTAAATGGGGGATAAAACTATGCATGCCACATAGAAAGTTAGCTTATTGAAAAGTTAAATGCGTAAATACTGATCGTTCAATTATAATTATAACATGTAAAAATTTACGCATGCATACATAAATTCAATATCAAGACAATAGAAAAAAATACAAAAGCAAAGATTGAGATTAATTCTCGCTACCACAGATTTATAAATCTACATGTCGCAACGGAGTGAAACATCGAAATTTCAAAGTGAATATTTTTATTAGATCTAGATTTTCTCAAATGCCAGGATAAAAAGCTAGTAACTAAATCAAATTTTAATATTTTACAAACACCTATACACACCGAAATTGCCTATTATAAATTTAAATGGCCATTTTCTAGTTTTCTGTGTTATTTTCTGTCATTTTGAAAATTCTAATCCTTTATAACAACGTAATTCTTCCTTCGTGCTTGTGACAAACCTGAAAACACGGATTTATATTACATTAGTAATATAAATCCGTGTTGAAAATAAGATTGCCAATGTCTTTTAATGATTGTTTTTCAAGCTTTAATAGAACAATAACAGAATGCATTATGTCAATACTTATTGATTCTTTTTCATTACGCCGTATAAAAATATTTCAAAGAACCAGTGAAGGATATAATTTTATAAATATTCCGGAAAGAACGAAAACCATGTGGCATTGACTTTTATAACTTTAGATTCGCAACAGACGATAATAAGATAATTTTGATATTAAAAATCTATTCTGTAAAGACCTTTTCCCAGCAACTTATTTCATAGATAAATAGATGTGTATATATAAGCGCCACTGGGCCGTAACTTATTAATTAAAAGGGTACATATGTCGTATATACAAGCGGCACTTGGCTGTGATATCATAAATCATCAGGGTGCATTTCTTAGAGTTATAACATTACATCAGATTACGTCACTTTTGTTAGTTGTCAAAATTTTTATGGTCCGAATTTTGTTATGGATCATCCTAGGGACTTAATTGGTCATGCCTTACTGATTTGATACTCGATCCAGAGTCCTACCAACTGGCACAGTCAAAAATACGTAAAATTATAATTCAGTTAATAACAACTTGTTTTTTTTTTTGATTTTTTTTAAATTTTTTGTGTTTTTTAAATTATTTGATAAGCAGAGTATGAATTAAAAAGTATCCAGTTGAAAATATTACTTTACCAGCTTGAATAATATTTGTGTGATGTACGATTTTTTGAGAGTGCATTTTTGCCGACACAAATAGTATACAGTCCTGTACATTCAAAAGAATTTTTATTTTTTACGCCTTTACATTTTTTTTAAATTACATAGATTTATATTGTTTTCTTTTCTTTGTCTTAGTAATGCTTAAATCAAAATTATTTTAATAAACCAGTATCTTGCAATTAATTATTACGCAGCCGTTTTTCGAAACTACAGAATCCTTACATTTTTGAAACTCAAAATATCTTTTTGTTATTTTATATTAGCAGAGACCTAGATACATTATTTATATCTCTGATATTAGCAAGTTAGTACGATTTAACTGCCTGGTAAAATTTTCATTATTAAGAATCTAACGAAAATGGTAAGATCATGATCAGTTACCCAGGAATATGGTCTACTATTAAAACAAATCGTTAACCATATTATATAGTAAACATATTTATTCATTTCACCATCCTTTTTATGTAATATCTTATTTAATTACACAAAATTTTGGCAATTTCAATCTGCCAATCTTAAAAGAGAAAGGTTTAAGATCTTTATATCCTTCTATTATTATACATAATCGTATCGGCATTGTCCACCGTATCCCCCAATGACGTCATCCAAGGGCGACAACTTGAAAACGGTCTTAAATGTCATTTTAATGAAAGGGTCTATATACTCAATGCACGACATATGCTTTTATTTGCGTTAATCGTTAAGTATGTAATAATTACATAAATAAAGAAATATTACATACCTAAAGATTAACGCAAATAAAAGCATATGTCGTGCCTTGAGGGTACCTATGTGTAAAAAAATGAGAGGGTACCTGTGATATAAAAATTCAAATGAAGAGAGGTAGCCCGTGCCGCTGCAAAACTGAAAGTAGGGTGTTTTTATGAATTTTACCATTATTTTTGACAATGTACTGCCATTTGTCCGAAGATGATATGTAAATGAACATACTAAATAGGTATGATGCATATATAATCAAGCCACAGGTTCATTTCAGCCCAAAAAATATGTCGAGGTGATGGGCGAAGCAAGACATGTCGATTTTTTGTAGCTTATTGTGAATTTGTAGTACATGAAAAATGGGAACATGACAAATCAGCACATAGATAAAACATTCTAGTGTTCCGTGGTATACATCTTTTCTACGTGTCATACCTTCTTTCCTTATCATATTGAATTTTTACTGTATTGTTATCCATCGCTGGTTTGTTTTTAGCAGAGAGTGGCCTGTGCATGTGCAAAGAGGGTACCGTTTCAGTAGATTTCGCAAAGAGGGTACCGATATGGATATGCACCGTGGAATCTGTCTATTTATACTGGAAGGTCTGTTATACATGTATGTACACCAAAATTGAATATGTCCATAGTATATAGTATCATATGTAACAACAAACCAAAAAATAATTATATATAATTAAGGATGCTGTTTAAATTTTGTTACTAAATCACCTTAGGCTATCAACATTTTTACATAGAAATATTTTATAAGAATATGCAAATTCTATTGTTCTAATAGATAACTTGAAAAAATTATTAAAAATTTGTCCATTGTAGACCAATCCAGTTTAAATAGATCAATTTGATACATATTAAGTAACAAGAGCCACTGCTGGGCAGGGGTAACGCTCCTAAACTTATTTATTTTTTTAACATATTGTATGATAAATCCCTTAATTATTAGATACACATCAGATGGACTGATCCAAATGGAGAGCAAAAATCCATCAGGTTAAAGTTTAAATCAGAGCATTGTCAAATGTCTAAGAAAAATTCTGGAATACAACAAAGACATACTAGTGGCTGGTATTCCTCCACCATTTGCTACAGCTACCATGGACATCCACTTGGCTGCTACAGAGCCAGCAGCAATTCCACCTGCTTTAAATCCCAAGGTAGATATAACCAAAGGGGCTCCTAAATATACAGATGGTACTGCCACAGCTGTTGCTATTCCGACTTTTTTCCATGGTATATTTTCAAACGTTTCTGGTGTTCCTATGCATGAACCTATTTTCTTCAAAGGTATTTTTGATACAGCTTGGTTTATTTGCTCTAGTGTTGACATATTTGTCTGAAATAAATCAAATATTGCTTAGCCTTTAAAGGAACTCCACTGAGGTTTGTCAGGCAATTTGGTGTCCCCAATAAAATGTACACAAATTTCTACACAAATCACAATATTATAACTAAAATGACAATGACTTACCTTTAACAACAATTACGCTAGAAAATGCATTTTTTACATGAGCTTTTGATGCAGAAATGAAAGTTGGATTTCCCAGACTTGTACAGATGTTACCTACCAATCAATCGGGTATGACTAAAATACGCAATGGTGTTTTTTAGGAGGCAAGGGAGTAAACGGCCAAATGTCATCATATAAAGTTTAAGACCCCTTTAATGAAACCATTATTATGAAGTGTGTCAACACTTATTGTGTATCTTTTACAAACGTCTAACTTTTAGGGGAAGGATTTATTTTGGAAAAACACAATGTTTTATTAGAGAATGTAGGACAAAACCCCACCAGTTAAAACCCACCACTCAAAATTTTATAGAGTGGACAAAACCCCACCACTAAATTTTATAGAGTAGACAAAACCCCACCACTTAATTTTACAGAGTGGACAAAACCCCACCACTTCAGTTTTATAGAGTGGACAAAACCCCACCACTTAATTTTACAGAGTGGACAAAACCCCACCACTTCAGTTTTATAGGGTAGACAAAACTTTCTTGTAAAAATGTTAAAAAACAAACAATTGTGCATCAGCAGAAACTCCAAAGAATGTGTGAACAACTCATCAATAAGAAGAAGACTGTTAGTACCCGAGTTTCTTCAGGCTATCAGCCACAGTATCCACTTAAACTAAGTACAATGAAGGAAAATTGACTGAACTGAATGAATTAGAAATGTGCTATAAAAATGTGCTATTTTTTAATCATTAATTGATGAAAATGTGCTACATTCTTGATTAATAGTAAGTAGTTTATTTTTTATATAATTAAATTGAAGAAATGAATTTGAAGAAACTAAAAAAAATGGATAATTCAAGGTCATAAATGTGGCACAGTCTCAAATAAATGACTACTCTTTGATGTTGATTTAACAGTTTGTAAATTATTTGTATAATCTCTTATATTACACAAATGTTATATTGAAATTAAAAAATAAAATGTGAAAATGTGTACTGTATATTAAATATATTTTAATTCATCAAATCTTGCCCAATAATTGGTAAGTGGTGGGATTTTGTCCACTCTGTAAAATTTAGTGGTGGGGTTTTGTCCACTCTATAAAATTTAGTGGTGGGGTTTTGTCCACTCTATAAAATTTTGAGTGGTGGGGTTTTAACTGGTGGGGTTTTGTTTGTCTTCCTTTATTAAATAGTATTAGTTAAAATATCCTTTATTAATGGTTTATAATAAAAAAAATAGACAGTCCAAGAATACAATGTATAATAAAAAATCTCAAGAGTTTTTAATACATGTTTGTCAATATACAATTTTTAGACAATATGTGTTCCAAGATAATAACAAGAGCTGTCAGAAGGACAGCGCGCTCGACTTTTTTAGTGCTTGCCTATAAAACAAAACTTTGACAGTTAAGGGCACACAAGACTTTAACTAGGAATTTCTAAGTACAAATCAAGAAACATTTTCACAGAGTTATCTTCTCTTGCTTACAGATAGGTCTCATGATGGCACATAAGAACTCCAACTTCCAAAGTAATATCTCAAATGGTTAGGTCAACAAGTGGACAAGAATGAAAATTTTAACTGAGTTTCTAAGTCAAAAAGGGCCATAATTCAAATAAAATCCTTAACAGAATTACCTTCTCCTGCCCATGTTTGGGACCATGATGGTAAACAAGTATTCCAACTTTCAATTTAATATCTCAACCAGTTCAGTCAAAAAGTTGACTGGTACAAAAAACTTAACCAAGATTCTAAGTCGATAAAAGGCCTTAATTTTTAAAACAAATCCCTGACAGAGTTACCTTCTCTTGCGTACAGATGGGGGTAATGATGTGAAATAGCATTAAAAAGTTTCAAAGCAATATCTCAAAGGGTTAAGGCAATAAGTGGATTTTACCCATATTCAATGTATTTTCTAAGTCAAAAAGGGGCATAATTCTGTCAAAAACCTTGACAGAGTTATGTCCTCTTGTCTGTTGATGAAGGTCGTGATGGTAAACAAGTATGGTCAGTTTCAAAGCAATACCTCCAATGGTTTTGAAATAAAGTGAGGTGGTACAAAAAACTTAACCAAGCTCAATACACTTTCTAAGTCAAAAAAGGGCCATAATTCTGTCAAAAACCTTGACAGAGTTATGTACTCTTGTCTGTAGATGGAGGTTATGATGGTGAACAAGTATGGTAAGTTTCAAAGCCATACTTGTAATACTTCTGAAATAAAGTGGGGTGGTACGAAAAACTTAACCAAGGTGTGACGCCAACGCTAACGCCGACGCCGACGCCGGGGCGAGTAGGATAGCTCCCCTTTTCATAGAAAAGTCGAGCTAAAAATAACAATAAGTAATAACAAGAGCTGTCAGTAGGACAGCAACGCTCGACTATTCTTTAAGTGCTTGATAGTAAAAAAAATGCTTGATACAGTTACCTCCTCCTGTTTACAGGTTGGGGTCATGATGGTGAACAAGTGTGCAAAGTTTCAAAGCCATAATTGTCAATGGACTTTGAAAATATTTGAACTATTACAAAAACTTTAACATAAATTCTAAGTCGAAAAAGGGGCATAATTTTGTCAAAATGCTTGATAGAGTTACCTCCTCCTGTTTACAGGTTGGGGTCATGATGTTGAACAAGTGTGCAAAGTTTCAAAGCCATATGTCAATGGACTTTGAAAATATTTGAACTATTACAAAAACTTTAACGTAAATTCTAAGTCGAAAAAGGGGCATAATTCTGTCAAAATGCTTGATAGAGTTACATCCTCCTGTCTACAGGTTGGGGTCATGATGTTGAACAAGTGTGCAAAGTTTCAAAGCCATATGTCAATGGACTTTGAAAATATTTGAACTATTACAAAAACTTTAACGTAAATTCTAAGTCAAACAAGAGCTGTCGGTAGGACAGCAAAGCTCGACTATTCTTAGTGCTTTGATAGTAAAAAAATGCTTGATACAGTTACCTCCTCCTGTTTACAGGTTGGGGTCATGATGGTGAACAGTGTGCAAAGTTTCAAAGCCATATGTCAATGGACTTTGAAAAAATATTTGAACTATTACAAAAACTTTAACGTAAATTCTAAGTCGAAAAAGGAGGCATAATTTTGTCAAAATGCTTGATAGAGTTTACCTCCTCCTGTCTACAGGTTGGGGTCATGATGGTAACAAGTTGCAAAATTTCAAAGCAATATGTCAATGGACTTGAAAATATTTGAACTATTACAAAAACTTTAACGTAAATTCTAAGTCAAAAAAAGAGGCATAATTCTGTCAAAATGCTTGATAGAGTTACCTCCTCCTGTTCTACAGGTTGGGGTCATGATGGTGACAAGTGTGCAAAGTTTCAAAGCCATATGTCAATGGACTTTGAAAATATTTGAACTATTACAAATCTAAGTCAAAAAAGGGGCATAATTCTGTGTCAAAAATGCTGATAAGAGTTACCTCCTCCTGTCTACAGGTTGGGGTCATGATGGTGAACAAGTGTGCAAAGTTTCAAAGCCATGTCTATGGACTTTGAAAATATTTGAACTTATTACAAAAACATATTCTAAGTCGAACAAGAGCTGTGGTGTAGGACAATGACTATTCTTAGACCTCCTCCTGAAAATGGTGAACAAGTGTGCAAAGTTTCAAAGCCATATTACAAAAACTTTAACGTAAATTCTAAGTCGAAAAAGGGGCATAATTCTGTCAAAATGCTTGATAGAGTTACCTCCTCCTGTTTACAGGTTGGTGTCATGATGTTGAACAAGTGTGCAAAGTTTCAAAGCCATATGTCAATGGACTTTAAAAATATTTGAACTATTACAAAATCTTTAACGTAAATTCTAAGTTGAAAAAGGGGCATAATTCTGTCAAAATGCTTGATAGAGTTACCTCCTCTTGTCTACAGGTTGGGGTCATGATGGTGAACAAGTGTGCAAAGTTTCAAAGCCATATGTCAATGGACTTTGAAAATATTTGAACTATTACAAAAACTTTAACGTAAATTCTAAGTCGAAAAAGGGGCATAATTCTGTCAAAATGCTTGATAGAGTTACCTCCTCCTGTCTACAGGTTGGGGTCATGATGGTGAACAAGTGTGCAAAGTTTCAAAGCCATATGTCTATGGACTTTGAAAATATTTGAACTATTACAAAAACTTTAACATAAGTGGTTACGCCGATGCCGAGGCTCGGGTGACTGCAATAGCTCTACTTATTCTTATCGAATAGTCGAGCTAAAAGGGGCATAATTCTGTCAAAATGCTTGATAGAGTTACCTCCTCCTGTCTACAGGTTGGGGTCATGATGGTGAACAAGTGTGCAAAGTTTCAAAGCCATATGTCTATGGACTTTGAAAATATTTGAACTATTACAAAAACTTTAACGTAAATTCTAAGTCGAAAAAGGGGCATAATTCTGTCAAAATGCTTGATAGAGTTACCTCCTCCTGTCTACAGGTTGGGGTCATGATGGTGAACAAGTGTGCAAAGTTTCAAAGCCATATGTCAATGGACTTTGAAAATATTTGAACTATTACCTAAACTTTAACATAAGTGGTTACGCCGACGCCGACGCTCGGGTGACTGCAATAGCTCTACTTATTCTTATCGAATAGTCGAGCTAAAAATTAAGTTGGGGGAAATAATTACTCACTTTGCATAATATGAGTTTTACATTTTGATAATTAAAATAGGTAACATGTACCATGTTAACAAAATGTAAATGATAAGCACTTAACTAAACTACATTACAGAAAGTAATATTTAACGTGTAACAATTTCTTCGAGCTGTACCTCTGGCTCTGGATAGATATTTGAATGTTTTAATAATAATAATAATAATAATAATAAATTTTCCTCGGGCAGCCGGCCTAATAATAATAATAATAATAA